TTTAATTGTCTGTAACTTATTATAGAAATGGCATTTTGTTTAAAATACAATTGAGATCTAATGTAAATACAATATTTCAAAAAATATAATGTTTTAAGGAAAATCACTTTTATTAAAAGGTCGTTAACTTTAACTATATTTCAAAAATGTATTCAAAATTACATTTAATTTCAAATTTTCCTCATTTCGCAAACAACTAACACTATAATAAAAATAATCCCAAATATGAGTTCAATCTATCAAATAGCGTCAATCGGTTGGGTATTTAATGTTTACAATTTTATTTTATTTTAATTTTAAATTCTTATCTATTTATCTTTAAATAAAAATTAAAATAAATGTTTACACATTTTAAAAGAAATGTTTGTCGATAATCCAAAACTTTATTTGAGCAGAAATTCTTCGACGAGTCTCTTATAAGACGAGGCATACCTGGAGTGCAAGTCATGGTTACCGGCGGGGAATCGGTGTAATCGGGCAGACTTTATATGCTTTACAAAATACTCAGGGTGCTCTATTGTACTGATTGGGTCCTGAAATTGATTGCAGTTATATTAAAATATTGCTAACAAGTAATAGTAATGTAAAACATAATGGTTATTCCACATACCCTATCGCCATGCATGACCAGAATGGGACAGTTGACTTTTAAATACTTGCTAATATTGGTGTCCTGCGGGAAATACGAGTTAAAATAGTCGACAAACTTCAAGTGTCTGTCCCATAGTTTCTGTATATCTTCTTTGCTTTCGTACGAACGAAGACAGGCGTCGAGTCTCTCTTTAGGCCAACCCTCGACATTACGGGTCGACTTCAATACATATATGGTTTGCGGGTATAGAGTGCACAAAATGCCGTGAACTGCCATTCGTGTGACAACACCGGGATATTTGCAGGCCATCCATACGCCTGCAATCGCGCCATCAGACCAACCGATCACGTGAAATTTTTCAAACCCTAAATGCTACATTATGTATATTAATAATGTTAATTAAAATATTGCGTTTTCCATAATGTTTAATTTACTGCTACAGTATATTTAATGTAAAACATTTAACAGTTATTACTTTCATGAGTTCAATATAACAGTCCACGTCATTATTGTATAGGTTTTGATCATATTTGCGAGCGGGTGGTCGGGATCGGCCCCAACCGGGCGGGTCCACAGCGATGATGGTGAATTTGTGCTGATCTAACTGGTCGTCCCCTTCCAACTGTTCGTAAAAATCGGTTTTACCCGTGCCTTGCGTTTCAATACAAAGCATTGTTACTTTAAATACAATTTATAAACTAATTAAATATAACTTTAATTTACATACCGATAGCACCGGGTATCATGAGCACAGGTGACGGGCCGGTGCCATACCTATCGTACCCAATTGGGTAGCCGTTAACAGTAAACGTCCCGCTCGTCATAATAGTAACACTTATGTATTGAAAATATATAATCAGTACAATCGAAATGAAAACGTGAGCAAAACAACTGAATAAATTTTGAGGTCAATTGTAACATAAAAAGTAACATTAATTTAATAAATAACAAAACAAAGTTTTTTTTTGAATGGATTCAGGCGTTTGAATACCAGTTGTGTTTTGCTGGCAAACTTCAAATGATTACAGTATTAGCTAATTATGTGCAGACTTTCCTCTATTGAAAAACTAGTCTTTCGTAACAATATTTAACATACAATTTGTTATACAGTAAATGAAAAGCGTATGAATTTATGAAATCATATTTGTCTACCAATCGTATGATTTTTTGTCTGGCGTTGATTATCGCAATACTTTTATCATATTATAGTTATTTTGTCTCTGCATTATAATTATAACTTTATTTTTGTATTTATGGTTGGATTATAGCAAAAATCCCAACAAAATTATATTTTCAAATTACAATTATTATATTTAATATACATGTATGCTTATTTTTATCATTTATTTTATTGCTAATAAATTTAATGTTGAAAATAATATGTCAATTAATTTAGGTTTTATATTGTACAATACAATTATAAAATTGATTAATTTCAAGGCATTATTCAAATATATTTAAATAAAAATTTGTTAGTTAGAAAATACTTTTAATTCATACAATTTAAAATGATATACAGTACATCATGAACTGGGTGAACCATGAGTTGTGTGAACTAAGGATTTGTATGAACCAAACCTCAAAACATAAACTAGTCTCTCATAGACATAATGTTAAAAATACATGATTTGTGTGAACATGAACTGTGTGAACTAATGATCTGTGTGAACAAATTATAGCTAAAATTATGTGGCATTCAATGCATTTCACAATGAGTTGTGTGAACCACACAAAATAGCTAATTTATAGCCAAATATAGATGACAGCACTAAAAAATTTCGTACACAAAACGATTAATAAGTTGTTTACATTCAATAAACAATTGAAATAACAGAAAATTACGACTATTTCTCTTAAAACACTTAAAAGATTTATTTAGAGTAACGTTTATGTATTAACCATACTTTTAGTTCATAATGATTTGTGTGAACTAATGATTTGTGTGAACTAAATGGCAAAATTTACCAAGTTCACCCAGTTCATGATGTACTGTAAATCTATGCTAGGAAATCCCAGAAAACCTATGATTCAATGTAAACTCATGCAAGTTTACATAGTAAAAATGAACATAAATCGTACCTAGGACTTTCCTAATCTATGCAATTTTAAGTTTGTTAAAATCCTTCGCTGAACATTGATCATCTGTATTAATCAAATATACCGTTATCAAATAAATTTAAAAAGTAATTTATATTAAATGCATGTATAGATTGTATTATAAATTAAAAAATTTATCGAAAGTCATTACAATCTTTGAGAAAGTGTTCGGTTACTCTCATAAATTCAGCCGGATATTTGTGATGGCAGTTATGGGCGCCCCTTTTAAATCTATGTAATTGACAGTATTGTACGTTTTTCTCCACGTGTAACGGATGATCCAAACTACACAACGGATCCTATAATAATACACATACTGTTCATTACACTCGTTATACAAATGACAATATACTACAAACCATATCGCCGTGAAATAGTAGGACCGGACACATGATATTCTGGAGCTTATTAGTGACGTATCCGTTGGGAAAGGCAGCGGCATATACTTTGCAAAAGTTGATATACCCGTCCCACATGGCCTGCACCTCATCCCCATAAACGGGCACATAGTTGTCGCGCACCTCTTGGGGCCAAAGACTGGTGTTTTGCGTGGCCAGAGTCGGGGCCACAGTTTGGGGCGTTATCTTCACGAAGATGGAGATCACTAACAAAAATAACACCAAATATTAATCTCAATTCTGGCCATCGATTAACCAAACAGTTCACACATACGGACGAGTCCTTTAACGCGGGGCTGATTTTTAAGGCACATATGAATACCGACTTTCCCGCCCTCTGAGAAACCGATCACCGAAAATGATTTGTAACCCAATGACTGATTAAATGATACAATTAATTGTAATTTACAATTAAAATATGAAATTGTGTCAATTAATTACATCCATTAATTTAAAAGCCACGTCCGCGTCGTTATTGTAGACATTTTTGTCATACTTTCTCTCGGGAGGTCGGGATCGGCCCCAACCGGGAAGCTCTATGCATACGAGCGTATATTTTTCTTGATCAAAAGCGTGATCGCCCTCCAATTGGGGCAAAAAATCACTCTTCCCGGTGCCTGTATAACCATATTTAATTATTATTTTGTATTAATTCAATTTGAAATAATATAGTAATGTTTGACATACCGATAGCACCTGGTATTAAGAGTAGTACTTCAGAACCCGTACCAAACTTTTCGTACCAAATGGGCCAACCATTGATGTCTACCTTTCCGCTCGTCATATCTCTGGTTATTATTCTGAATATTAATTATTATATTATATGTTAAATACGATTAAAAGTGAATACTAAAAGTTCCACTCAAATGCCACTTGAAAAGTGTTTCACCAGTTTTACTGATCGTAACACTAAAACGCAAACTAAATATACATGTATTTAACGGCAACTCTTATGAACAACAAAAAACCAAATCAAAAACAGGTTTTATATACTTTTTAAATAAGTTTTGTGAAATTTCAAACAATCAATAAATATACATCTACTGGGATTTACATTTCTTGGAATTACATTAATAATATTTCATTATGATCGGCTCAACAAAACAATTTAAAACTAAAGTAAATATTTTTTAGTAAAAAATACCCAAATGCACAAATGTTTTTAGATTTACTTGCATAATCATTATAAATGTTTTGTTTATTAATACCCTATGATAATTTAATCAACATTCATATAACACATACCACTATTTATAGACATTTTAAAATGATATGATTAATTGCTTAAAAAGTAAAAATACTTTAATTGCTAATTATGTGATAAGAGTAATAAAATTAACGCTAAATTAAGCAAATGAACTGAAAAGTAAATGTCAATAAATTATTTAAAATAATTTCAAATTCATAGCAATTT